TTTTTTTTCTGAGTTATGATATTTTATAGAAAATATACGTTTTTGTGGTACATACTACAATATTCTTATATTGTTTAACTAAATGGAACATATGTATGTAATATATCAGCAAAAAATACAGCCGTGATCATTTTTGTGTATCAAATAGATATTAGAACACACTTTCCACCATACAGTTTCGATTATAAAAAGCGGGAAAATGTGAAAAATACACGTTTTGAGAAATTAAGTTTTAAAAAAAAATTGCACTTTTTGTTTATTGTTAAATAAAAAATTTTAAATAATGATAATCAATAATTATATCATTCTATCTTGAAGTGACAAGAATTACTGACATTTGAGTAAAAACATTGTTGGAATCTATTAAATTTTGACAAAGTTATGGGCATTTTAAAAAAACCTTCTCACTGTCAATTCGAAAAGTTGATTTTTGCTTGAAAAAAAAAAAATCGCGTTTAATTCGGCCGAAAAATTTTTCCGAGGCAAAAGAAAAAATACGTGTCTCATTATTTGGACCAACAAACAATGTATTTGAGTTTGGTCGAAATTAAAAATCATGCTCGTACCTGTCCGGTTGTCTGGAAATGGAAAGCATCTATTATATATACCTCTTAGCATAGCTACTTCCACGTAATCTACTGGTCCGTACGTGGTGTCAGAAGATATATCGTAGCAATACACTTTACGAATCTTCATTTCATCGAAGCTCAAGATGCATAACTTCTGAACCTCATCGAGCTGAACATCAGCGGATAAAATTTGTGTGACCGGCTCGATTATGCCGGTATTAATGCTTACTTTCTTAGCCCAACATTTAAGAGTACGCACTGCAGGAAGCAATCTATATACCTTCGCGCTTGTCGAGTACAACGTTATTGAGTGCGATATGTCCTCTTCAGCCCATCTCATAAGCTTATTGCCACGCTTTAACTTTTTTATTTGGCCGGGAGTGAAAATTGTTCGGAGCTTCTCTTCAATGTTCCTTTGCTCGAATCCAGCGCTTCCTATGCGTTCCCGTAGGGCAGATATCATTTTCTTGCTTTGCTTTTCACTCACCAGCAGTACCAAATTTTCGCGTGTTAGTGATTCACTAAGGAAGGAAATTTCAAATATTATTTAACAAATTTTATAACCACTACCACATTGCTATTACACTTTCTGCTGCAATTTCGTGTTGTCTTCCAATCGGTTTTTTGAGCACTCTCGCAATCGCTGAATTTCACACTCCATCGCTTCACTGGATCAATCACAAAATATTAATAAAGCAATAATAATAATAGCGCCTTTCTTTAAGTACTAAAATTTTTTTTAGAAAAAACTGTTGCCTTCCTTCTGCCTCACGTTTAAGTAATTGTCTACAAAATATCATAACCATCGTATGAACTAAAAGTATGTATATTAAACTTAACAGTCTTTGACTAATATTTTTTGTTTCAATAGCCTTGTAGCACTTGGACTTTGTTTGTTTTCGGCTGTCAACTTAGCCAAAGGAATTCTTGCAGTCAGGTACATTTTCCTGCTCAGCTTTGCAATTGTTTTGGCAGCCTCCAACAAGTCGGAAATGCCGAGTTTTTTGTGTGTGTAATCCACCACTATGGGTGCCCTGCTCCTTGTTATCGGCTGCCACCTCCACCAAAGGAATCCTCGCAGTCACGTCTATATTTCCCCGCTCCGCAGCTTCTGCAATTATTTTGGCAGCCTCTACCAAGTCCGAAATGCTGAGCTTTCCAGCGCTATGGGTGCTCTCAACAACAGGCTGATTACTTTTTCTGGTCGGAAGAGCCCCTTTTTTAAAAATTGGAAATTTCGCAAATCCTGGAATTTCGCTCAAACTTTAGATTATACATAAGTAACTATGCAAAGTCGAACTAACCCGTTTGAAGTTTCAAATTGTTCTGAAAATTCTCCGGGAGAAAATGGGCACCACAAATTTTTGCTTTTTTGTTAACGCCTTGCCCGCAAAACTGCTCCCACTGCTTGCCTAAGTTTTCCTCCTTCGGAAAACCAAAAAAACTCACGGTTTTGTTGTTGTCGTAATTATTTTTACAAAAAATCACGGCCCACTTCATTTTAAATATATAATTAAATCAAAACCACATAAAACTCGCTTTCTAGCTGTAAAGAAGCCACCACCGAAATGTAAACAAACGAACAAATGTAAATAAACGGCTAATGTCAAAATCGCCCAACTTTTTTCCTAAATGCGATTATAACGGACTACTGGTTTGCTGGCGTGATTTTGTCTTGGCTGAAACCGACAAAAGAAAAGAAGAGTTGTTGAATATTAATGATTAAATAATAGTTTTACTTACGATTACATTCCTGAGCTGCTGGGATATGCGACTCATCGGAGCTATTGCTAGCGTTCAAGTTAAGGCTCATTTCGTAAATTGTATTAAAATTTAAATGATTTAAATTATTATTTTGTAAATTATTTTGATGGCAAAATTAAATGTGTAGTTAAATTATGAAAATCGTTAAACATGTGGTGTAACAGCGGAATCAGCAAATGTTTATTTTCATACGGTGTTTAGGCGCGACTGCTAACACCGGGCGCCTAAATTCGTGCTATGTACTGCTGCATGTGCAAAAATTTCCTTTATGCAATTTATGAAATTTTTGCACGTGCACTTCTCAACTGCCATGTAATTGAACTTTCTTAAGTTTCAATTAGATGGCACTTTAAAGTATGCTCGGCCTAGTCTGATGCATCCTCCGGACACTGCTTCCGGAGCATTTTGCGGACTCTGCAGGGCTTACAACCGTGTAGAGGTGGTAAACGAACTTTATCATTGGCCACAGTGCCTACCCACCATTTCTGAACCAATAAATATTTTTTTTATATAAATACATACATGCAAACATACTGGTCTCCCTCTTACTGAGTTATTCATACGGTATACAAAAATATTTATGATTTAGATTAGATCCTCCCTCGAAATCTCTATTTACACAGTGCTAAGTTGACTTGCAAAACAATTCCCAAACCCGGGAAAGACTGAAGTGGCTCTTCGAAAAAGTTTTATAATTTTTCAAAAGCATTGCATAGCAGTTTTTCCGAGTTCGCCGTCTTTATTATACCTATCACCTTGAGAGGACCCAATTTTGACTAAAACAGTAACAATCTCTCTCTTTTTTGTGGTTTAAATTAAATGATCCTAACTTTGAATCCTTATTTTCAGAAATATATTTCTGCCTTGCTTTAAGTCTCAACGATATTTGTTGCAAGTTCTTATTTGGTTTATTAATCATCGTTTTAAATATTGCATACAATTTTCAAATTCATATGCTGAAAATGAGTCCAAAAGACCAAATAGCTTCACACAATCCGACAGGTGGAGTTATTCATGAACATTAAAGCTTATAAACTCATCACCATATCCTTCACCAAAGTAAGTAACGAAGAGTCTTGGATGTCCTTTCACAAGAAAGAAGTCTTATGGCACTATGTGGGTCGTTCTTAAAAAACATGACCATTCTGAATTTTGTAATTTTTAAAAATTAAGTTGGCCAAATATGTTTATAATTGGCCTCATGTGGTTACGGATGGTATCAACAATAGGAATCCATAACCAGCAGTATTTTTTTTAATTTTTGGAGTTTTTGGAGTTAATAAGTCACAGAGTGGACCGGTAACAGAGGGGACAAATTAACTCAAAAATACCATATTTTAGCTTTTTATTCGAATTTTGGAGAATTTATTTGTCCACTTAATTAATGTACATAAAATATTTATAAAAAAATTATAAAATAAATAAAAAATCACTTTACTCACCGTTTTTCAACAGTAACAGAGTTGACACTGAATAAGGGTACGTACCCGGCATACAATTGGGTTCCTTACTCAACAACGCACTAAACAAGACTGAACAGTTCAAAACACATTTTGTTGATTTTAGCTAAGTTATGATGGAGAAGCATAAGAGAAATATACGCGTCATAACGTTTAACAAACATTTTTCAATAAAATGAGTGGACGTAACAGAGGGGACCAAAACCTGGGGACACAAATTTTCTTCATAAAAATTATACAAAAAAATTATTTTTCATCATTCTTTTCTATATATGGTATTAATATACACAAACTGAATAACAAAAATTGTAAATATTATTTTTTTTCAATTTTATTTCAACTGAAAATAACTATTAAATTTTTATAAATTGGCTCGGGACACAGGTTTTTGCTAAACCTTTGACATTGAAAATATTTTTTAAGTTATTTTCAGATAATTAATTATTTTTTTTTTATAATATAGTTACGTAGAATCGATAATAATTTATAAAAATGCAGATATTTTTCTATTTTCTTTTTGAAGAAACAAAATATAAAATAGTAAAGTCTGGGGACACCAATTGGTCATGTTTTTTAAGAACGACCCATGTAGCAGCAAAAAATTGTAGTATACATGGGGGTTGATAGTATCTTTGTGGACAAAAACGCCAGTATAGAGCAAAAATTGCCTAAATTCCGTTGACTTCCAAGTTTTCATCTCATCTAAGCTTCTAGCTATGTGACTAAACTCTGAGGGAACAACACTTGCGATAAAGTTCAACTTCTCATTAATGGATGTTACATTCCCTCTTTTAATAATAAATTGTAATAACTTTTTTGTAATTCCTAGGTTCACTAAGTGCATGCAAATAATTCTAAAATCAGTAAATTCCAAAATGATGAGAAGGATTTGATCTTTATTCAAAGGATTTATCAGTCCTTAGAATGCTAACCCGCTTTGAAAAACAAACCATTTTATTTTTATATGCACCTTCCTGGCAGCATTTGGGACATACATTTTTTCCGTTGTGCCCAATAACGCCAGTTACAAATGCCCTAGCTGGAGAGTCACACGTAAACAAGCGTACGATAAATTTTAAGCGGTTTGGATTAAGGCCTACTTGAACTCCATTAATTCTTAATAACTTAACTAGCCATGAAGCTATCAATATTTCCCGGGTTTTTGAAACCAGAAAAGCAAGCAATCATAATCGGTCTTACATGAGGGGCACCTACAAGGATAGGCCAAAGAACGCGGTTTGAACTTTTGAATAATTTTAAACAGTCGACTCCAACGTCAATTAAAACGTCTTCCTTATTTATTAAACTACAGATATTAGATGATTAAAAATAGTTCTCAGTTCTTAGGGATATAAAATCTCCATTTGGAATCCTGCCAATATTAATTTTCTCTCTGCTTGTTTTTAACAGACTTTTGGCAGACGCCCCAAATTTGCGTAAAGTTCGCAACAAATCGTCTAAAGAATTATGTGAGACATTATTCCTAATAGCCCACAACCTAATCTCTTCACTACTTTCTACACTTTCTTGCGGGATCACAGTAATGGATTCAGATTCAGATGAATCTTCAGTATTCTCACCGAGTGTGAGTGTGCTGTACTTTCAGAAGATTCTGCACTAAGAAAAGAGGGTCCTGGCTGTTCATTTGGATGCACAACACCACTTCTTTCTACATTCACATTTTCTGCACTTTTCATTTGCCTTAGAGCTCGCAATTTTTTACATTGGATTCGTAAATCCGTTTTTCTTTAGTCATTGCGTTATTAAATGCTCTTTTCTTCATTTGAAATTAAATATTTTATAAGACTTATCTTTAATTTTCACAGCACTTTGAATTTCGAGCGACTTTTCGTATTGCGACTTTTCGTTTCGCGACTTTCTTTTCTCCGTTAATGTGCTTATTTGAACTTCTTCAGTACCAAGTACATTATAATCCTGTTTTATTTTTTACGTTTGCATACATTGAAATTATCATACCGCAATTAAAACATTAATTTTTATTTATTTACTTTCCTTTTTTGCTATGAATGGGGTCCAATAAATGTTCAAATTATAGTTTAAACTAATTAACCTCAAAATTATATCCATGTACTTCAGTACCCGAATATTATTTGGCAGGTACAACTACTTTTGTTTAGCACAAAATGCAGCCCAATTAAATCTTGTGGTTAGTATTGTTACGATTATCCTTGAACCCTCGTCCGCATTTCCCGAATCCTCCGGTTCGTATCGCTGGATTGTTAAATAAAGGCTAACGATGACCAAATGGTAGTACAATTAACTTTA